TGATTGATCAGTCCAAACTGGGAGGAAGGGAAATATCCTGACATTCGTTCTTCAGGATATAAGTGTTTTTGCAGGGCATTGACAAAGAAGATACTGTGTGGTAGACCATTTTAGTTTAGTCTGCAAAGCGTGTTACACTATGGTCTGTGGTAATTACATTTTGCTGAGACATCAGTCTCATTCTCTTGTATTGCTGCAGGCCAAAATAGTGAAGGCAGCTTTGCTGTTCAGGGGTGGCTGTGAATTACGTTGTTGGCGAGCTGTACAGTCAGCCAGAGCCTACTATTATAGCTGCTGTCACTCAAGAAGCTGCTAAGGTCATTTTTTTTTCTTTCGAGGAAGGCAAAAGTATGGCATGACGGTATGAGTTGGCACGTATTAACTAAACCAGTGAAGTAAATGTTTAGACTTGCATGATATACTTAATTCTTCAGGACAACAACAGCGGTTTTATTGCCTTTAATGAACTGGACACAAGCGGTGCAATACCGGCAAAGGTGCGACCTTTGACCTTTATCAAAGGGGCAGGAGGACACAGCTTGAGCTGTTCTTCACAGAATCACACACAGTCGAGCGTCGAATCCTTTTTGTCAATAAAATAAAAGGGCAACTTTTAATCAGACAGCCGTGACTGTTTGCTCTTTTCTTGCCTGATTAAGCACTCTGTCACTCAAGCTCTACTCCGTTCCACTTTAGAGATCAGCTTTTATTGCCTTCTTGCTAAGTCATCCTGTCGCTTCAGTACAGTCGAGATTCGTTGTAATGTTCGCGCTGCCTCCTAAACTCGGTTCAGCTGCTAAAGAATCTACTAAAGGCCCTTCTCCATGATGTCCTTGAGCTCCAAGGTAGAAAAAGGTGCCTCTCTGGAGCACAGTAATGCCTCCAGATGAAGCCAGCTTGCTGTCAAGACCAATATATCTTGATAACAAAAGCAACATCTGTCTAGTTCAACCTCAGTGAGGGGGCACTCAGACGTCTCCTCTCCACTCAGGTAGGAAGGTGTGTGTGTCACCGAGGTAACGAGAACAGATGAGAGCTTCATCCTCTAAATCTCAAAGTTATTGTGTTATCAGAGGAGGCAATATGAAGCGGCCTTCAACAGAAAGAGATTCTTCACAGCAAACAAGTTTGTTGTGCACAATAATGTTGGTCATTATGTGGCCAGACCTAAGAGCTTTTAACCATCTACACTCTGCGGTTTGCCTGTGGTCCATTAACACAGTGTGCACTGTTTATGCTTTATACACTGTGAGGCTGAAAAGGCAGAGGCACATTAAATATTGACTCTGCCGGGGCTTCTTTCCAGCTCTGTGGAATAAGTATTTGGCAAAATTAGGAGTAAAAATTCACGCTTAAGGCTAAGCTTGGTTGAGCTTCTTCCTCCTCCAATTCAGCCACTTTTGCTTATACATGAATTCATACAAATAAAGCAAGTATGATACAGCCTTGGCTGCAACATCTGATCCGAACAGTAGATGATCCAAAAGAATAATATTAGCATTAATTATCATTAATTCAACAACCTTTTCAAGGATCATTTCTCTCTTTCCTCTACCTCCAGTTTGCTTCTACACTTCATGACGGTGTAGGCTGCAGATTTATGACACTATTTCCATGCCCTCTGTACAATGATGTAATTGTTACTACTACATCCCTTTATAGCCCAGGTTTATAGAGACCTCTTGCAACTCTCATCAGCCATCTTAACTAGTTAGTTATAAACATGCCATGAGCTACATCTCTATTACTGTTTTCTCCTGCGAGAGCTGCCTTGTGCTTGGTGCACAATTGACAAATGGTTCACAGCACTCGTCTTAACACCCACAGCTGCCGTCAAACCTTGAACTAAATTTTTCACAATAGCCTGGAGAGGGAGGGCAAATGGAGTTTTTTTTGGCAACACTGTGGACTTATTACTTAATGGCTTTCATATTCACGCATTGGTTTTGCATACAACAGAAGATTTTTTGGGGTGTGTAGCGGGGTCATCAATTCCTACCTTGAATGCACCACTTTGTTAAATTAAAGAGGAGGCAACACATTTGTCAAGAAACCAGCTTGATTATGTGCGAGAAGAGATGACACCCGATGAGATATTAACTTACATCGTGACCCGAGGTCATGAGCCTCCATATCACATTCAGAGCCCGTCTTTTACACTGATGGAGAACAATGTGCTTGGAGATTGATTAATAATGTAACCAGCGAACTAGTCCTATCTCACACTTCTGCAGTCCTGAACCTGTAGTTCATAGCTTCACCAACCTGCATCAAAACTGCACAAAAAAATTACACCAAAATGGCATTGAAAGCAACTTTCACAGACACCTAAACACTGTTAAGATCTGTTCTCTTGGAATGTGAAAAGCCATCTTCTCAGGTCATTACAAAGATGCTACTTTAAGTATAAATTTGGTTAAAAAGGTTAAAAAGACGCCATTCCTCTTCACCACCTCTGCAAACCCCAAAATTGGCAATTTCAAGGCGATGGACTAAACACTGTTGACACAAGTAGGAATTACAGGTTTTGACAGATCTTTTAGGCCTTTCTCTAATCAACATAAAATTGCTCAGTGGGTAAATTTAAAGGGCCTGAACACTCTTTGCAATAAACCTCAGCCTAAAGGACAACTCTTTCTGTTTTACTTTTCAACTAAATCTAGATATAAGGGCACATCTGTTTAAAAGCCAAGGACTAGCTCAGTAGACAAAGCACAGAATCCAAAGACAGTTCGTAGATGGTCTTTGTAGCTTTGTACTGTTTCAGCTAAACAGAAGAAGAAGTTCCTCGTTGGTCTTGTTTTTATCTGTTAGGAGCACTGTCCGTGAAGTAAATTCAGAGATAACTTCAGCAGTGCTAGTAAATAAAAATGTCTGTTGATCTGCCAGTTGGTTCAGACTAAGATGTTTCTCGGCTGGATTAAGAGAAGTGTAGTGTAGCTCAGGAGTGTCAAACATTAGGCCTAGGGACCAAATCGGCCTGGTAAAGACTTTGGGAAATTTGAAGGTTTGCATAAAAGCTGGACTTTTAACTGCATTTTCGTAAATTTTACAGCTTTTCTTACTGATAAAGACCTCCTCCATGGTCATTCATAATGCACCAAAGTAATTAAGTAATAGATAAACAGATAAATGCAAGAAAATGTCCTGTTTTCTACTGTCTACTGTAGAAATTTAAAGTTTTTACAACATATCCACAGCAAAAACAAACAAAAAAAGCTAAAGCAAAGCAAACGTCTGACATATTTTTTGTCATACTTTCCTTATATTAAGAGCTCTTGGTATAAAAGTGCAGTTAAAGTCGTCACAGTAACAGGAAGGAGAGTGTCTCTGGGCCTTCTAATCTGAAAATTACGTGGGTTGTGGGTGGCACATGATGTAAAATAAGTTTTTCGTCCTTGGTGCAAATGGTTCAACCTGTTGTTGGGGATGAGTTTCCCATTTGAAGGGAGATATTGCCATGACAACTTCTCCTCAGAATGAGCAGAACAATGTTGAAAAATTCCTTTTCCTTTTCATCCATCTTTCTTTTTTTTGACCTATACTGAGGATTTTGAATAGCTAAAAACTACTCATCAGTGTGCTATGCATTGTGTTAAAAGCTAATTAGTAACAGCCAAAATGACACAAGCCGAGCTCCTTTTGAGGCTGCTTGCTGCAGAGCAAAAACACTGTGTTGTTGTCCTGAAGACAGCTACCTTCATGTCCAAACTTAGACCCTCACGTCTTGCATGTCCAGCGTCCTACAGTGTTCTGAGGCTCTTGGTTGCCTGGGTAACCCACAAGACCTAATGCTGTATTTCCCAGGTTACCCTCAGATTGTCCACAAGCGCGGGGTGAGAGCTCGACTCATGAGGCTCTTTCCATGCTCCACAGCCAAAAAGCCATCCTCCACTAATCAAAGCAAGTGGCTCTTCCAAGGCTTTCTCTCCCTCTCTCTCCCTTCACTCTGTCTCTCTGATGATTTTGTTGCTGTTGTCTAAGATGTTCTTTTGTTTCTGTGTCTTTTCTCAGCCAGTACAGGCTTTAGTCACACATGATTGACGGAGCTGCATTTTAGCTGCAACGTGAAATCTTTTCTTTCTTTTCTGAAGGGAATAAAAATGTTTTTCTGCTGTTCACAGTCAAAACTGTCATCTTTCACTGAAACAAAACACTCGCATATTGCAGATTAGTTTCGGCGTAATTACACGGTGACGTGAAAAAGAATATGTGATGCTAAACAGGTCAGGTGAACAGAAATTTGTTAATTACACCGCTGTAATGCTACAGTTTCTGGACTAATATGATGATGAGAATGAGATCAAATAGCCATTTTTATTTCCTTTATATCAGCTGACATCCCCCAACGGATGCGGAGCTTTTGTTCCATAGCAACAGGTTAATTATGGTCCGTTTAAAGATTTGGCCTTTTGACTGTGGGCCGTAATAAGCCTCTTCGAGCTAATGAGGCACTTAGTGTGTCACACTTCAGGTATATGAGAGACCCTGCACAAGACAAGTCAAACGCTGTGCTGTGAGGACAGTGCAGTCGGTGACAGTGCCCAGACAGCATCTGCTATCATTAAAGGCCCATTAAAACATTTCACAGGGTTCAGCTACCCTCTTTCATGAAGAGGCTCTCTGCCACGAGGGCTTGTTGTGTTCCAGGGTCTCAAAAAAACTCTAATTACCTCTGCTGTCATGTTTGTTGTAGAGAAGAAAAGAGCATTCAGGTTTTTTGTTTGGTTTTGTGAAGGGTCCGATAAAGGAATGTGGCGTGTGAGGCAAAGAAAGGACTTCAGAACTGATCCGCTTGAATGGATTTTCCCATGAGCCAATAACATTTTGTAGTAAAATGTTGAGTTCTGGCATTGTGAATGGAGCTTTTTGTTGTTTTTTTTGTTTTATTTGATTATCTATTTGCTGAAAATGTAACAAGATAGCTAAAATTCTAGTGTCAAAAATACAAATTTGCAAGGACGCGTTTCATGTCTCACCTTGTTCTTTCTCCTCTCCAGACAGCGTCGAAGACGAGCTGGAACTATCGGCAGTCCGCCATCGCCCAGAAGGCCTGGAACAACTCGAAGCACAGACGCGGTTCTCCCGAAAGGAGCTACAGATTCTTTACCGCGGCTTCAAGAATGTAAGTGACGAGGCCACCATACATAATGTACACCTTGGAATGCTTTGTTCTTTCTTGGATATCTCTTTTTTCTTCACATCAAAAACATTGTTTTCCTTTTGATTTTATTTCATGTATTCTTTTACAACCTGCTGTAGTGAGCAAGGGTGTTTCCACCCAAGTCTCCTGAAGCAGCTCAACCTGCATTAAATGTTAAACTGTCCAATAGTGCTTACCACAGAAAATTTAAACTTCGGTACACGGTTCACTGTGTCAGAGATAATGAGGTCATACCTCAACCCTTCCACCCCCTCCCAGCTTACTTCTTTGTCATCTCTGGTGTGAGGCATAATAAGATGACCCAGAATTAACCCAACCCAGATTATCTGGCTGTGAAAGAGGATAGTGAGAGTCCTGTGATGGTGTTCCCGTGAGGCTTCAGTTTCCTGTTGCCTGCAATGTGCTCTAGCCAAGTCCCTGCAAATCTTTCCCATTAGTTCGTTTCCACTGGAGATGGTGTAAGAGGTAAGAAGTGTTTTGATCAGGGATTTAATTTGTGCTTCACGCTGCCTGATTTCACAGCGTTTAAAGACATTCTCTATTTTGCCACTGGAAGGGATGAAGTGATGAATCCAAATAACTCAGGTGGCCCCTTCAGCTTTCTTTGAGCACCAGGAAAAAGGCATACATATTAATTTGCCCCTCTGGGTGATTTATCAGGAATATATGCAGAATTTATTAGCAAGGGACATAATTTCCATTTGGTACTGGAAGTGTTCTGGTTTTCGTTTTTTGTCGGCTCATAGTCTGAGTACCATATAATGCCACCTTTAAGCAGGTCTTGGTTGGATGGAGGTAAGCAGACAGTGTGGACAGCAAAACAAAGATTGCAACTGCTAAACTGCAGTCATGAAACCATTGATATCATCTGACAACAATTCAACAAGAAGTCTTAGCCCAGATGTTTTTAGTGTATTTATTCATTTATGTATTGGAATAGGAGGTCATCGTCTCCGTTTACTCAGTTGCTCCTGTCTACTGTGGAGTTAGATGTGGTTGAACTAGGACCCCAAACTGGACAAAGAGAAAGAGTAATGACGCTTAAATTACAGCTATTAAATAGCTTCTGTCCATCACTAAATCTAGAGTGTGGCTCATTTTTTAACTTCTGGGGTCAAACAGCTCATCTTGTCTTGCCCTATCCCAGTGACATTGGCAGAATGAAGGAAAGCTTTTAAGGCAAGCCAGACTAATAGAAGCTGGCATGATTCCCATGATGAGAAGTTTGGCCCTTTGTCCTTGGTATCCAGGGTTTTGAAGCAAATCAAACTTCTCCAAGTTTGATTTGGTGGAAGGATGAGGTCATCTGTCTTGACAACAGACTTTACAAGTTATTCACTTGTAGCACAAGTGGTGCTTTGTTTTAGATATAGCGCTTTGTCGAGCAGGTCTCGTCTACCAAATGAAACCTCTGGTTCTGGGCCTTGATCTCGAGGCAGAATTTGAGCAAGGGGTCACCTTAAAGGTTTGAGAGAATTTATTATTTAAAAAAAAAAAAAAACCTTGACCTCAGACTATAGAAAATAACACAATATTGTCCTCACGTCTGACTGAATCTTCTGAGCTTTCACAGTTCACAGTCCAGGGCACTGACTTGGGCATTAGATTAAGATCTCATACTTTCGATGCCATCAGTCACGATTCGTCTGTTCGTAGGTATATTTCATTCCCCGCACTGCTTATTGCCGCCTCGCTTCATGGGTCTCCAAAAGGAATTTCATGCCTGGCCAGTTTTGCATTTGATTGAATTGGATGTGTGATTTTATTATCATGGATGAGCTAATTTTACAAGCATATCAAATGAATACAAATAAACTTTCTGATCTCTGTCCGTCTAATGAGAACGGCATTGAACAATGTGCAAAATCAAAACAAAACAAAAAAACGAGGACAAAGGGAAACAGTGACTACGTTGGTGATCATCCTGGAAAATGTAACCCATGTTTTTCTAGTTGCTTTTTTCTTTTTCTTAAAGTCTTGATCTAGAAGTGCATGAGCAAATATTTATGAATTGAGTCCTAGCAGGAAAAATAAGCTAATTAATTTTATCGATATGTATGTAAATGTAAACATTTAGATATTTGTTATATCTTTAATTTGGTGATATGTTCATCTGTTGTTGGGACACAGATGCATACTTTATGAAAATAAAATGAACTCTGGCTTAATGTTATATATGTATATAATATAAAATAAATGAGTTCCTGACTTTTAGCTCAGCAAGATCAAAGTTTTCCTTGATGGGACCTAAAGTCAAAGTGTAACTATTTCTCTGTACTTGAAATTGAATTGCAGGGGCGCTGCATTGCATGTGGTAATAAGATGACGCACAGGCTCCATTCCCAACTGAAAAATAGCCTCGCTCACCAATGTCATCATCAGGCTACAAAGAAACGCTGATATACAATCAGTTGAATTCTGCCACGAGAGTGAGACTCGCTCCAACAGCTTTCACTGAGCTTTATTTTTTCTGCAGCTTTTTAGGATGATTTGCAGTAGAGAGAATAGAAGAAGAAGTGTGTGTGATGCACAGACACACACAGGTGCAGCCATGCACATACTCTACAAGTCAAGTAGAAGTCCTATTAAAAAAAAATCCCCCTGCTTACTATATTTATTTACAGAGCACAACTACAACAAGAGGTTGACTGTTGAGAGCGTGTTGTCTGCACGGTTGTAGAAGATAAACAAAGCATTAATTAACAGCTGCTCTGGTAAACAACAGAGAAATACTGTCAAATACAAAGATGCTACAGTGCATTTTGTCTTTATGGTGGATATGCGTGAAGTCCCTGCAGGGACAGAATTTCTACATTCCTTAAGAAGCTACAGATAAAAAATACACAGCGTTACGTAAAAATCTTGATCCAACCCTTACTTCTTTATATTTTAGTATGAAAATGGGAAATTAAATAATAATACAATAATAACAATTTATTGAAATGTGTGCAAACATATCTAGAAAAAAGCATATAAGGCAAAAACAGACAACAACCCCGATGAGCTTTATTTGGTGTGACCACCTTTATTCGTCAAAACGGCCTGAACTCTATGAGGAAGTTTATTGTAATTTCTTTAGGTAGTCTTCAGGAATAGTTCTCCAGACTTCTTGAAGGACATTCAAAGCTCATCTTTGGAGGTTTCTGCATATTGTTCTGTTCCCCGTCAGCGTGATCCCACACTGCTTCAATTGTGTTGAGGTCCAGGCTGGGGGGAGGCCAATCCATGACTGATTTTTAGTTTGAGTTTCATTGTGTGTTGGCAGTGGGTTTGGGATCATTCAACAATCAGATCAGATGCTTTCCAGATAGTACTGCATGGTGGAACCCAATCCAACCATACTATTTCCATCAATTTTGACAAGATCTCCATCCCAAACAAATTTAAACAAACATTTTAAATTTGGATTTATCCAAAGATCTGTTACTAGTGATAACCAGTCCAGTTCTTATATAATTTGACATACAGTGGGGCAAAAAAGTATTTAGTCAGCCACCGATTGTGCAAGTTCCCCCACCTAAAATGATGACAGAGGTCAGTAATTTGCACCAGAGGTACACTTCAACTGTGAGAGACAGAATGTGAAAAAAAAATCCATGAATCCACATGGTAGGATTTGTAAAGAATTTATTCGTAAATCAGGGTGGAAAATAAGTATTTGGTCAATAACAAAAATACAACTCAATACTTTGTAACATAACCTTTGTTGGCAATAACAGAGGTCAAACGTTTACTATAGGTCTTTACCAGGTTTGCACACACAGTAGCTGGTATTTTGGCCCATTCCTCCATGCAGATCTTCTCGAGAGCAGTGATGTTTTGGGGCTGTCGCCGAGCAACACGGACTTTCAACTCCCGCCACAGATTTTCTATGGGGTTGAGGTCTGGAGACTGGCTAGGCCACTCCAGGACTTTCAAATGCTTCTTACGGAGCCACTCCTTTGTTGCCCGGGCGGTGTGTTTTGGATCATTGTCATGTTGGAAGACCCAGCCTCGTTTCATCTTCAAAGTTCTCACTGATGGAAGGAGGTTTTGGCTCAAAATCTCACGATACATGGCCCCATTCATTCTGTCCTTAACACGGATCAGTCGTCCTGTCCCCTTGGCAGAAAAACAGCCCCATAGCATGATGTTTCCACCCCCATGCTTCACAGTAGGTATGGTGTTCTTGGGATGCAACTCAGTATTCTTCTTCCTCCAAACGCGACGAGTTGAGTTTATACCAAAAAGTTCTACTTTGGTTTCATCTGACCACATGACATTCTCCCAATCCTCTGCTGTATCATCCATGTGCTCTCTGGCAAACTTCAGACGGGCCTGGACATGCACTGGCTTCAGCAGCGGAACACGTCTGGCACTGCGGGATTTGATTCCCTGCCGTTGTAGTGTGTTACTGATGGTGACCTTTGTTACTTTGGTCCCAGCTCTCTGCAGGTCATTCACCAGGTCCCCCCGTGTGGTTCTGGGATCTTTGCTCACCGTTCTCATGATCATTTTGACCCCACGGGATGAGATCTTGTGTGGAGCCCCAGATGGAGGGAGATTATCAGTGGTCTTGTATGTCTTCCATTTTCTGATGATTGCTCCCACAGTTGATTTTTTCACACCAAGCTGCTTGCCTATTGTAGATTCACTCTTCCCAGTCTGGTGCAGGTCTACAATACTTTTCCTGGTGTCCTTCGAAAGCTCTTTGGTCTTGGCCATGGCGGAGTTTGGAGTCTGACTGTTTGAGGCTGTGGACAGGTGTCTTTTATACAGATGATGAGTTCAAACAGGTGCCATTCATACAGGTAACGAGTGGGAGACAGAAAAGCTTCTTACAGAAGACGTTACAGGTCTGTGAGAGCCAGAGATTTTCCTTGTTTGAGGTGACCAAATACTTATTTTCCACCCTGATTTACGAATAAATTCTTTACAAATCCTACCATGTGGATTCATGGATTTTTTTTTCACATTCTGTCTCTCACAGTTGAAGTGTACCTCTGGTGCAAATTACTGACCTCTGTCATCATTTTAAGTGGGGGAACTTGCACAATCGGTGGCTGATTAAATACTTTTTTGCCCCACTGTACTTCAGCCTTTTTTCCCTGAAAAAAAAAAACCTTCTTTCCCCCCTGAAAAATCTTTTTTTTCTCTCAGTGAATGGATTTTTCCTCTTTCTTAAAAATGTGACCTTTTGATTCTTTATATTAGATGTAGATTATTTTTTTTTAAATAGATGAACAGATCACAGAAAGCTTTTCCGCCTTTCATAGTCATGTGCGAAATACGGCTGTATAAATGTCTCGCAGCCCCTTGGCGTGCGCACTCACAACCATGACTGAGCGTAATTGTGCGGACGTATTTTACCTTCACAAACAGCTGAGACGTGGTTTGCGATACATGTGGCAAAAAGTGAGGTGTTGTGGCCATACTTTCCCAACCTTGAGACCTCAGAATTAGGGAGACATTGAAAAGGGCTGTTGGGGGGGGGGTTAAATACATTTTACAGTGTTTATTTATCAGATAAAATACGTTAAATGTCACCGTTATTATTGGCCGGCCCGGAAACAGCGGGGGTGTCCAAATTCAGAGGCTGCTTAGGACCCGGCCTTCGCGGTCTAAAGAAAGCCGGGTAGTACGTCACAGCTCCCTCGGTGGAGTGAAACTCTGCCGTCTGCTCCTTGCTATCTAAAATATAACCGGGCGCTGGCGTAAACTCTCGACCGTCTCACACTTTCTTTAATTAGTTTTCTGTTTGATGTTTATTCAGCCGTGTGAAAACCCCGGAGGAACCCTCTCGATGGATTAAATTTAATTTAATCTAATCTAAACTTTAATCTCAGCCAAACCGATTTACTCACGAACAAATAAAGCACTGAAAAAGCCAAACAATAACATTTTTAAGTTATCAAAGTGACTTATAAATCATGTTTAACCCGAGTAGCGAAAGACCGCGGGGGTTTGAAAACGATGTGTCGGTCGGCTCAGATATTTTAAGTTTACACAGCTACATTCTCACCTGAAAATATGTTAAAAGTTGGGGGTTTTTTTGCGACCCAGAAAGAGAAATAAGAGTGATATTAAAACTAAGTAGCTGCCGCCATTGTTGGAAACTGGAATTGGCTGGGCCCGCTATGAATTCTGCGATATGGTTTTTCAATTTTGTTGTCCAGGTGGAAATTCTGGAGAATGGTGGCTCCGGGATTCTCCCGGAAACATCGGGAGGGTTGGCATGTATGGTTGTGGCAACACCACTAACCTTGTCAAACACCTCAGAGTAAATCATATCACAGAATATGACGAGCGTATGTTGAGACGAACTGAAGAGGAGGACAGGGACAGGTGCTGCTAGGGCAAGGCAGACCTCTCTCATGGAGTCCTTTAGTGCTGCAGGCAGGCAAGGTGTTCAAATAGGCACAACTTTAGTTTTTTTATTTCTATATGATGAACTCTGCATTAGGGCTGCCACGATTAGTCGACTAGTCACGATTACGTTGACTATCAAAATCGTCGACGACTGATTTAATAGTCGACGCGTCATTTGAAGCTTTGTAAGATCCCAAAAGCGGGAATAAGTAGCAGGATTTAAGAGTGTAATAACGGACTGAAACAGAAGATGGCAGCACTGCATGTACAAGGATGCCAGCTGCCGTTAAACCCCGAAGAAGAAGAAACTGTGTCCCAGAATTCATAGCGCGGCCCAGCGCAGTTGTCAACAATGGTGGCAGCTAGTTAGTTTTAATATTACTCTTATTATTCTTTCTGGGTCACAAAATAAACGTTTAACATATTTTCAGGCGAGAATGTAGCTGTGTAAACCTCAAATATCTGCTCAGTTTATCAGGACACCACATATTTTCAAAAGCGCTCTGACGTTTTCGGAGGCGTCTGTTACCCACTAGCTCGATAGCTAGCCGGGGGCCATGAGAGCACCGGACTCCCGGTAGATCGTTTTCAAACCCACCGCCCTACTCAGGTTAAACATATACAAGTCACTTAGATAACTTAAAAATGTTATTGTTTGGCTTTTTTCAGTATTTTATTTGTTCCTGAGTAAATCGGCTGAGTTTATTAAACTCCACCGAAACAATCTGCACATTTAATTAGAATTCAATTAACTATCATCTTGTCTTTATTTTTAGTTAGCACATACCTTAAACACTTAAAGCTGTAAGCTAATGATAGTTATATAAGAGCAGATGCTGCTGGTGCAATAAGCTGTACTTTTACGTTCAATGGATGATGATCTGATTAGTCGACTAATCGCAAAAATAATCGGTGACTAGTCGACTATCAAAATAATCGTTTGTGGCAGCCCTACTCTGCATTATTAAGTGATAAGAACAAGAAATCTGATGCCCTGTAATCATTATGACGCTATAATTTGAGATACAATAAATAAAATACGTTTTTGTACAAAGTATCGGTATCGGATCAGTATCGTCGATACCACCCTGAATATTACTTTGTATCGGATCGGAAAGGAAATCAGTGGTATCGCACATCACTAATGTTAGCATGCAAGTCATTCAGCAGCTATGGCAGTAGTCAGACCTGGGCGTGGCTGGTAGATTGAACTCAGCTTTCCAAAAAATGAAGAGTCACAGTTAATTAATGAGTTAAGAAGGGGGGCAAAAACTTTGTCACATAGGGCTAAATTTCACTAAATAAAAAAAAATCATCATTTAAAAACACTTTGTATTTGTGTTGTAATTGTTTGATAATCTAAAACAGCGTCCCCAACCCCCGGGCCTCAGACCGGTACCGGTCCGTGAGTCGTTTGGTACCGGGCTGCGAGAGTTGAGGCTCAGGTGTGAAATGTATGGTTTTCAGGGTTTTTATCGGTTTTCAGGGTTTTTTGTTATCGTTTTTATCGTTAACTCGTTTTTCCTGTGTCTTTTCACGTGTGTTATGAATAAATCTTCTTTTTTTCGGTACCGGTACTAGTTTTATTTTGTTGTATTTATCCGCGACACCTTAAAGGCCGGTCCGTGAAAATATTGTCGGGCATAAACCGGTCCGTGGCGCAAAAAAGGTTGGGGACCGCTGCTCTAAAACATGCAAGTGTGACAGATATGCAAAAAATTACTTTTCACAACGCTGTTGCTTCACATTTAACATCCACATATCACAGCAATGTCATACTTTTCTAAGTCAAAAAGCACTAATTGTTTTCTTTGCAGCTGCAGTCTTTTGTTTTACCAGGAATAAAGATCAATACTTATAAATTAACAGCCTGAATATTTTTCCTCAATCCAGGCACTGTGACCGTTATAATTAGGTGTCATTTATTCCAACCATGATGGAGAGTAATTTTCCTCATTGTACATCATTATGATTCATACACGCTAGTCCAAGCAACGACTTTCAGACTTCACAAATCAGGTTAGAGCCTGCCAGATGACAACGCAGAGACAGACTTGTGCACATTCTGTCTCCGAAACTTCTTTCTCACCTCACCCTGCAAGATATTCAGCTGAGTCTGTGAGACCAAGAAGGAGGAGGGTGTCAGGGGACTTGCGCAGACAACCTTGCAGCATCCTCTTAACTTGAAACACAAGACGCCCGTTTGAAGCAAGACGATGAAGGTTTCGTCTTTATTTTCTTCCCCTCGCCGCACTGTTTCCCAAAGTGGCTGATGAGACATGGTCACGGGAAGCAGGAAACCCGGCGTGCCCTTTAATTCTAGCGAGGTTACTCATACTCAGAGAGCCTTTTAACGTGTCTACTTTTGACTTTCGTGAAAGGGAATAGAATATGTTGATGTTGATGCAAGTTCACAAGCACAATGTAGCTTCAGAAGTCCTTCTATCACACCGTGTTTTGTTTTGTTTTGTTATATTTGATTTCCAATAAAAGCCCTCGCTGCTGTTGGCTATTTTCTTCCATAAAATACAGAGAAACACGAGGCTCCTGCCCTGGAAATTGCCCATGTAGGGGGTAACTTTCTAAAGTCAATATCCCGTCAGCGTGTGCCGCAGAATCGAACCTGTAAAACTATTTGCCTCCATCACCACGCTGCTCCAAGCAAGGTCATCCGCTACTTTGATTGTTTGAAAAGAGACACACGCACAATTCTTGGGTATGTTACTATTCAGTCTTTTCCAGTGAATGCTGCCAGATAACCACAGGCATGGACGAGATAGCTGCTGAGGATTCGATGGTCAGTCACTGGTGGAATATGTTGTTTTTCATTTAAAGACATCTTCCCACTGCTAGCTGACTTTGTCGTTCTCAGAGGTGCCCTGTTTTTAGTGAGACGTGACCGTGATTGGCACTATGTGAACTCAAGTTTAAGGCTAGGACTGTAAACATAGATGTCAGATAACCTGCGCATCTCTATTTTGTCTTGCAGGAATGTCCCAGCGGGGTCGTCAACGAAGACACTTTTAAAGACATCTACGCACAGTTCTTCCCGCAAGGAGGTCTGTGCCTGCTGCTTTGTTTTCCCAGCATGCTTTCCCTTTCCCAGGAGCTCCCGCATTCATGCGTGTTTACAAAAATTGCACTAAGTCCGGAGTACGTTAGGTTTCCTCGCCTCCCATGAAAACACAGTGTCGGTGAGAGGCAGAGGGAGAAGAGAAGTTTGTATTCAGGCAGCCTTGAGTTTCTCTCTGTTGGCTCTCATCATTATGCAAAGATTCAACCCGAGGAGGAACAGAGGAAACATTAGGAAGCTTTGATATATCTGTTCAGAGAGAAGAAAGGCAGGCCAGTGAACATAATGGCACAGCACAGAGGAAACAATGATAAAACCCTCAGCTCTAAGCACACTGTTCTTCCCTCTCATCGCGAGCCTGTTTTCTTTGAAGTGGAAAAGAAAAAACAGTCTCCGCTTTGAACCTTTTTCTTGTTTGCAGTAGCCACCACTGCCAGCGAGCCGTAATCACGACAGATGTTCTGTGATTGGTTGTTTGTTCTCTCCATAGATGCCTCGACATACGCACACTTCCTGTTCAATGCTTTTGACACGGATCACAATGGCTCTGTGAGTTTTGAGGTAAGCCCAGAGTTGCCAGATTGTTCATTTCTCAGTGTCTTAAAGCTCGACCAGTGTGTGGGTTCGCTGTCGAAAAGGCGTGCTCATCAAACGCTCCCACAGACGAGGCTTTACACTCGATCATTATGTAACCTGCAACCCCCTTTATAGAAAAAAAATCTAGCCTCATCAAGTTTACTCAAGATGCTCAACATTTGATTAATATTTATGAAGGGCACTTATTTGCTTATTAGGACAGAACAGGGAACAGCTGTCATTATGCCAAACAAAGTTTCCCTGCCTAATGTGCGGTCCACTCTGTTCTGAAGTACGAGATCTCCCTGAGGACTGACACTGAGTCGACTAAACATTTGAATAATGAGCTATTTTTGATTTATGATAGCTCCACTTTTGCCGTTTCATCATTTTCCTCTAATGAATACGTGATAGAGGACGGCATCCTCACAGAAAGGGTGGAATCGGTTGAAGTGCCTCACGTAGAAAGTGTCTCATGCGTCGTTGTTGAGTTAAAGCTGTGATGTTTTGCACATTTGTCAGTAAGTTGCGTTTCCATTACAGGATTTTGTTATGGGTCTCTCTATCCTCCTGCGTGGCACAGTCCAGGAAAAACTCAACTGGGCCTTCAACCTTTATGATATCAATAAAGACGGATATATCACTAAAGAGGTACGTCTCCTAAAAACACGAAGGTCACAGTGCTGAGATATTTGCCGTGTTTCACGCCGCATGCTTTAGTTAATTCACTTACATGTTGTTGTACAGGATGTCCACGATCCGTCGATTTTGATCGAGCACAGCGCTACGCCAGTTTGCATTTTGCTAATGTTCACATTGAGCCTGCAGACTGCGCTCGATTTTTGTACAGTAAAGATCAAAATGTAACAGTTAAACTGAAGAAAACATCCTCCCAGGAATCTGCCTCTGTGGGTTAACATTGACATATCCTCCTCCTACTGGCTCACTAAGCTTGTCAGTGTGAAAGCACTCAAGCATTGGAGTTCACAATACTTAAAATAAAAGTTCTTAGGGAGAATTAGCTGTACTGAAAACAAACACTGCCCTCTTATGGTTGAGTTGCAGTACTGTTTTCAGTCCGTGTACTGAGCAGGTGTCTCCAGTTTGCCGCTCCAGAGCCACATTTGGCTCTTTTTGCCATCTACTGTGTCAAAAGTAGTTTGTGTCAAAAGTACTGCCAGTGTGGCCTGACTACATTTACAGCTTAACTAAAACTACCCTAACCTTTAATTTTATTCTTTACTTTCACTATTTTTAAAGCTGTCGAGCTGCCATATGTTCATTAACAAAGCTGGCTCCTTTTAATTTAATTCAAACGCAGGGATTAAGTCAGCCCGCAAACATTTAAAGCCACTTTTTTCAAAGCCGGCCTAAACAAGCTAATAGTATTTTCCCTGCACAGCTGTTTGTTTCAACTCCTGTAGCCCATCTGCCTCAAGCTTCAATGTGTTGTGTGTTCAGAGATGCTCTTCTGCGTACCTTGGTTGTAACAAGCTGTTATTTGACTTATGGCCTTTCTAGCAACTTGAAGCAGTCTTGCCATTCACCGCTGACACCATCAAGGCAGAGAACTGCTGCTCACTGCATGTTTTATCTATTTTTGGCTAATTCTCTGTAAACTCTAGAGATGGTTGTGTGGGAAAATCCCAGCAGATTCTGAAACACTCAGGAACTGCTAAACTGGTCTGGCACCGAGAACCGTGCTAAGTTCAAAGTCACTGAAATATGAATCAACTTTCTCCTCTATTCTGATGCTCGGTTTGAACTTCATGGTCCCATCTTGACCATGTCTATGTATCTAAATGCATCGATTTTCTGCCGCATGATTGCTTGATTAGACTTTGGTGTTAACAAGCAGTTGAACAATAAAGTGGCCAGTGAGTATATATGTATATCACTCATTAGGATGTTGATTCAACACTATAAGTAAAGCTGAATAATGTAATAATGTAGCGCAGAAATCACAAAACAACATAAAATAATCGCCATCCTTAAATTCTCAGGGTTGTTATTCGAACTTCCTGCTCCTTGAATCTGTTTTACGGGGACCTGAAAGAACAAACAGTCCCGGTGCAAATGAATGCTCTATAATGCAACACGTGCTGATTAGCATAACAGCTGAGGCTCAGGGCCATTCATTTAAATTCTTTTTTTTCTGACGCTGACCAATAATTCATCCTGAGACACGACTCGTGCATGAATCCAGTCGCACGTAAGATATGAGTGAGGACACAAGAACTGCTAGCGAGCAGTCAGTGCAAACTGAGTGTAAGACATTGTATTTATCTCTGTTATGTTTTCTGCGCATCACAGGAAATGCTGGACATCATGAAGGCCATCTACGACATGATGGGAAAATGCACATACCCCGTCCTCAAAGAGGAGACGCCCCGTCAGCACGTAGAAGTATTCTTTCAGGCAAGCAGGCAGTTGGCAGATTTTACTGTTTTATGTACGAGGCTTCAGAAAACCTTCATATCTCTCCTTTTGTCTGCCTCCAACAGAAGATGGATAAGAACAAAGACGGCGTGGTAACCATAGACGAGTTCATCGACTGTTGCCAAAACGTAAGGCCGATCCCCAGAACATCAGCTCGCACTGCTGCTGGCACAGTCTCAGCACCGCTCATCGTATTGTCTCTTTTATTTTGTATCCTCAGGATGAAAACATCATGCGATCGATGCACCTCTTTGAAAACGTTCTTTAATTTTCGGCTGGCTGTGGAGGATTTGGAAGAGACCATCATCTTTAGCTTGGCCCAGTTACTGACTTGGACTCATACTGTGTACAGTGTGCTATGCAGACTTTTTGACCATAGATACAGTTATTCTTCATTACAGAGGGCCTCAGTTGTAAGTAGGCGGTATAGGCGTGGACACTCTGGAGCTGGTTGCCGCTTTCTTTTAAACAAATTCGGGAAACTTCTAAGTGAAATAGTGAAAATGGATTAAAAGGAGATGCTTCAAAATGAAACCATTAACTTTAAGGTTGATTTCCGCCTTCTGTCTCTGGAGTGTCTTTGTGTTTGCCGAACTCTGCCTAAGACGTCTAACGAAAGGCTTCAGACAGATTCTGTTCTGTTTTATTTACTGCCAAATCAGATCACTGTGACTTTCTGCAGCATCAGAAACACCCGAACAAAACATCGGGTGTAACGTCACACTCCGTCTGCTTTTACATTCCAGACCGGCTCCCAATTCCAGAGTGTTCCCTCCCGATTTAGTTAGCCATCGTGGTCTGTCTTTCTGCTCTTTGAAGGAACTGTTTAGAGGGGGAAAAAAGAAAAAACAATACATTTTACCATTTTAAACTGTACATAATATAAAAAACATTATTAGATAAGAACTCTTTGAGAAACTTTTGTTCTTGTTTACTTGCCAACTAGAATGAGACAACACAAGGATTGTATTGATGTCAAACTTGGACCATAATATCGATGGTTTGTCTACAGAAGCACACAGGTAGCTCTACTTATGATGTTATACAACCATTTCTTTGTCACAGGAGAAATGCTGCTTTCAGTGGAATTCATTTAACCTCATGTATGTATATTTCCTGTAAAGTAAAATCATCCATCAGTATGTTTTTCTTTGGGTTTTATGAGTTTACACTAGGAGCAATGCTTGGGATTATTTATAAGGTGTTCAGGTCAGGTGTACAGTATTACATGAAAAGTCACCCTCGGGTGATTTTCAGGTCTTTAGATTTGTTCATATGAGTCACTGTTTTTAATAAGAAAGGCCAGTGGGGTTTGGTTATTGGTACAAACTTTGTATTATACTCATTAGTTTGGGTTTTCTTGCTGTTTCTCTCCTCCTCCTCCATCCTGTGGGATGCAGCTGCCCACACCGATTCAGCCTGATTGGTTTGATTGGCTCCCAAATGTTAGCAAAAACTACAGGATTATTGAGAGAAGTGTCTCAAGTGTGTCTGAGTGTTTCTGTCTGACATGCGCTCTCTTTTTTTCTTGCTCTTTTTCACAGAGACTTGGATATTAGACACAGGAAGTAGGCAGAAATACGACTTATACTTGAGAGCTGTGGTTTATGGTTAATGTGTCGCAACATTTAATGGTTCATCATGTTTGTCCTTCGAAGTGTACAGTGTGTTTCTATGATGTATCACTGGGAGTCGGGAACATATGAACCTCCTCGGTGAGGCATGTTAATCATCCATAATTTAGTAAAGAAAATGACACTTTTTCTCAGCCCTGCTTCTTGTTATTCATGTAAAAGGAGATAGTTTGGTTTTAGCTTGTTTAACTTGCTGTTTGTTAAACCGCTTGTTTGAGTGTGATTTGTATTTTATTTGCAGAGACCTGATGATGAAAAGTAACTTTTATCCACTACGGAATACAAAAGAGCAACACGGTTGATTTGGAAAGTTACAAACAGATCAAATAGTTTGCAGACAAGACTTTTAAAAATCAATTCCATCAAAAGCGTGTCATATTTTAGATCTAAAAGTACCAGGCCACCTACACATTACACCCACAGGAGCGGCTCAGCAATGGAAACCCAAGCCATGAAGCTCCCGGTGCACAGTTTCCGTGCTGATGCTCTGCAACTTCACAATCTGACGCTTCATGGCTGAGCTGCTGTGTTTCCTAAACACTTCCACTTTCCAATAATCCCACTTACAACTGATCCTGGAATATCTTGAAGGGAAGAAATTTCATGAACTGACCTGTTGCTGCGGTGGTGTCCTATTACAGCACCACCCTGAAATTCATGGAGCTCATTTGAACCATTCGTTCACAAATGTTTGTAAAGGCAGCCTGCGTGGCTCGGTTATTGATTTCATACATCAATGGGACTGAAAACACCTGAAATGAAGATTAGGAGGCGTGGCCCAAATACTTTTGACCATGTAGTGTATGTTGTGCTTACTGGTTCTCACTGAAGCCTCCTGGTGGTAGCAATGTGGAATTACACAAGGCGATTGACTTGATTCTTTCTTGCCTGAATGGCATAAACTGGGATATATAATAATATTGTTGTTTAGAGTGTATAGAGAAAAAAAGTGGATGAAAAAAATGAATGTTGTATTTTGAATCTTACCAAGTGTAGCTAAAATGGATGTTGAAGTAGGAGGATGAGCACCAGTCATGGTAAGTGCTACTATCTCTTTAGCAACAATGCTCTGGTTTAAAAAGCACAGCGGCAATGAGGCGTATGGATATGAAGTTTTCATTTTAATATGCGTCAGAGGGTGATGTAATAAATTGCACTTGTAAACAAAACATAAACGTTCACAAAGTTGAGCAACATTTAAAGACAATAGTTAACTTGGATTTAAAAAAAAAAAAAAAAAAAGGACATTTAAGGTGAGAAATGAAATGCATCTGGCACAAATTTCCACAAAAACGATCTTTCCAGTCAGATTCCAGCCTTTGCTTTCTACATACTTAGATTACCTGAGATAAGTTTGCTTATAAACCAAACAATTATATTGTATTACACAGAGACATGTAGATTTTATGATGTTACATATATCAACGTAAAAGCAGGCAGATAGATAACATTAATTATACTGATGCAAGTACAGTACCTCTTAACAGAAGGTGACCTTACACTGAATGAAGTGATGATGTTACATGTTATCACTGAACACAAGATTTAACGATTTTGGATGGTTATGCAGTAAGCAGATAGTCCCTTACACTAATGATCAGCCGACACAAACAGTAGCTCGACTGTTTTTATCTGCCATAAAAGTCGGCGTATAAATTAAAACGTGCTGCAGTTGAAGCACAACAGCAGCGCAGGCCCAAAGCAACAACAACAAAAAGTCATATATAAATTCCTATGTTGGATTGTTGAGGTAATCCCTCACTAAATATTTTCCGTTTTGAGCACCGACTCTGAGTCGCGCGTAATTGGAAAAGAAAAAGTGTCACTTTTCATCAGACGTGTTCTCTATGTAGAGAGGGTTTAGCTGTGTTCGTCTCATTGTGTGCTCAGAGCACCCAAACAAAACGCTATGTTTACCACTGCATGCAGTGAAGCCATAAATGGTCAAAGAATGAGATTTTTGGTGGGGGCATGTGTGAATCGAATGCTTTGAATCACTCAGGGTGCGATAACAGGACCGCGCTTCGGTCCTGGCAGCCTGTGGCTTTTGTTTCAGCGTTGTTTCTGTTAAATTATGAAATGACTGATACATGCTTTAAACATTTATTGAAATCAATTTTCTGGTCAGACACCAAAAGCGTGATAAAATGTACAAACCTCTGCAAGACCTTTGAATATTGCAAATATTCTCTGAACATCTGTTGTTTAAAAAGAGTTTTAAAAAGTGAAATATACTGAAATATACTCAGTCTTCCTGGGAGAGTAGACTAGTGAACGTCTACAGTATGGCCCACAAATAACCCCTTGTCTAATCCAGATCCTATAAATCTACAAAGTAAAATGGGGAAAAACACTTTACCCGATTGAATACACAGTGAGTTGTACTGCTTATGCCGATGGGCCTCGTGCCAGAGTGCATTTCAGCCTCGGGCATCGATGTCAGTCCATCACACAGAGTGCCCAAGCGGGAAATCCTTAATGTGTTGTCCATTTCATTCCCTTATTTACTTTAAAGTTCCTCATGTGTCAAGTGGTTATTTGAAGATCATACTGTGGGCCACTAAACAATGATAAAGGCAACTTTGGACTCTGGAAGTTGAATTGACGACGGGCTCTCCCTGGTTCCTTGTTTCTTCTTGTCATTCTGTGGCTCATCCTAAAGATTCAAACAGAACCTAATGAGACTGAGCCTTAGAGGTTTGCACACGGTCCAGTTGGGGAACCTGAGCCCAAACGTGAGCGGGTTAGGTTAGCAGCTGCCTGATCTCTCGGTGAACGTAGCAAAGGAAGTCCATGTAGGAAGCCCCGCCGTGCAAGCCTTTGTCCTCCACCAGGAACTGACGGAACAGCATCTCCGGTTTGTCTTTCTGCCTCACAATTTGCAGCTGAGCAGGGCAGAAAAGAGAAGTGTGACTGATTTCCAGCACAGCTGGAACACAGGAGCTGTCACACTACAAAATCTATTCACATTGTTTCTGTTGTCACAGCTGGCACGTTCCTGTTTTTGTGAAACATGTTTCTCATCTATTTTATCGAATTTACTTCAGCTTCACTTTAAGGCTGGTGTGTGTGTATATGTGTGTGGTCCTCTGTGGATCCAGGATTCAAACTTTCTATATATTAACTGCTCAATAGCACTGGGTGTGCAGTGCATGGGGCCATTTGTACAGTGCTTTCTGTAGATGTACTTTGATTAGACTATTTATATAGAAACAGGGCAAAACATGAATAAATGAATGATGTTTTTGCAACTTTTGGGGGAGTGTATTTACTGTAAAGCTCCACTAGAGGGAAGCAGAGATCAACAAAAGCCTCAATATCGTCTCTGCCTCACCTCAAGTAAACCATGTTCTCTTTGGTTTAAATAGGTTCAAATATAAAGGATGTGAACTGTGTTTAAACAATGCTTTTGGATTGTGTTTCGCTTACCTTCATAGAGTTTGACCTCTTTTCAAGAAGGCCACTGATGATGGAGCGGACCTTCCTCGACAAAGGGTTGTCAAGCTCCGGCAGCGCACACTAAAACAAACAAACAAAAAGATTTAGTGTAATTAGGAGCAGTTTGATCACTAAAAATAAAGACCAGTCCTAAATACTGCTTGCCTCCTTCCTGTGCCGCAGTACCACATACTGAAGTGTTTGAGTTCTGCCTTGAAAATAAACGTGGATCTTTGATCTCTGTGTGCGGGGCGTACTTGTTTAAAACTTTGAGGTTTACAAAAGCTTTGACTCAGTTTAGCTCATTTTACACAGCAGTGGAGTTCAAGTGAGTCATACTTCATAAAATGTGGGCACAGTCGAACATGACTGAATTATGATGTGCTGAGATGATTTCTCAAAACTGGACTTTTACCATCCAGACATTCTCTGACCATACCGTAATGCCGCCAGGCACCGGGGAGCTAAAATGTCAACTCTAATATCTCAAAAACCATTTCATGTGGATTCTGAGCACACTGAGGCCAAAGTGATGAAATGAATGCTGACCATGTGTCCTTGCAGGTGGGCGAGGGAGGGCAGGTTGAACAGGCTCTGGATGAGGTCTGGTGAGCTTGCTTGGCCCAGCCACAGGAACATGGACTGGCCGTTCTCCAGCAGGAAGATGCCAGAGTCTGTGAGACGCTCCTCAGAGCAGCGCACAGGAGTGGCCGGCTTCTCGCTGTTGACGTCTATGTTGTGCTGAAAAACAGTACAAAGGGTTTAGCAACTGAAACTAATAGTGTGCGTCTAAGTGAGATGACCAAGCGCAAAGTGTTTTTATTCCCTACCAGAGGGATGAGGCGTGGGTAGAGCAGCAGCTGGGTGTCCTCCACTCCCATGGCCATGACCGACAGCCTCTGATGGGCTCTGTCGTCCGTGGAGAGCTCAGTGCTGCCCACCAGGGGGGCAGTTTTCATCAGGCTGTTCATATAGACTGGGAACACTTTCATGGCATCAGGAAGGATCAGCTACAGGTGGATTTATTAAAAAAATATATGGTTAGTTGTTTTTTTTAATCCTAAAGTTAAAATACACATTGAAACTTCTTTCTAGGTGTGATTCTCCGACCTGGCTAGCAGCAGAGGGGCTGGCACAGTTCTTCCTGTAGCAGGCCAGCATGTGAGCCGTCTGGTTCACCAGGATCTCCCTCACATTCTTTAGAGGCTGGTTCAATATGGCACGGTAAGCTGAGGGGGCAGGACAAAAGATTAGTTAAAAAAAACAAAGCAAGAGCAGGAGAGACAAAAAACATGGGGGGCGGCTCAGAGGCATCTGATGGCAAGTATGGGGGGAAAAAAAGGTGGAAGAAAAGGTAAAAAACCAAAAGGTAACAGAGGTCAGTAACACAGCTGGACTCATGGTCCGCTATGTGCAGATTACAGAAGGACGGCATCATGTGAAACATATGAGTAAAAGTAGATTATTTAGTGATACATGGGATATAATCAACAAATGTCAGATGACATTTGAGTGTGTTAGCAGGCCGTGCCTCTGCACTACATCATAAAATATGTTTCCCACAAGCAGAGTTTGAACTAATGCAGTCCACCTGAACTCCAGAGGAATCTAACCTGATTTGGCAAAGAAGTTGATGAGCGAATCCGTCTCGCAGCTCTTGTACAGCTCTGACAACTGCGAGCTGCAGTTCA